GCACTGGCTGCAAATTGTACTTATTGATTTTTGACTGTGTATATTGGTATGTATACCTTTTTTTCAAAGGGGACAGTCACATGTGTCAAGCAAAAACATAATTCAGTTAATTCAAGAAGTCATTTCCATTAATGTGCAGACAATTTAGCAGTTAAGACAATTAGGAAAATACAGAGCAATGCCATCTTAATAGCCATTTTTCACAATAACACTTGGGGGTTTGTAACTTTCGTCTTACAGCATTTTTTTTTTTTTTGCTAATGCAACCTAATCTAACTTAAACCTAAATAACTTTCTGAGAATAAGCTTCTTAAATCACTTAGCTAAAATTCACAGAGTTTAGGAAGAGCATCTATTTAAAATGTTTGAGAGCCTATGACTAAAGTCTGCATATGTTCAACATACATCTCAAATTCTAAGAGACAGCAAAACCAGACAAAAAGTAATAAGAACTAAATTAAATTGGCACGTATTCAATTTTCAGGAAATGCAAATCTCATGATTACATTTAAGGCTTTGAAGGCAATAAGTGAACATCATCACTCACAATTTTAAAAAAATGAAGAACACTCACAGGCCTACCCAACTACCAGACTTGGCATCAAATGATACTGAATTCACCGGTAGATCGGACCACACTACCCGTTTTCAAGGTGTGCGTCAGTACGCATTTCACAGTATCATACCCCAAAACAGATTTCGAGATGAGATGCACTACTTTCCAACCCCCCTGAGAATCATCACTATCACATCACATACTAGGCAAGAGCAGTGTCACTTCTGATACCTCGAAGCGCATACTGATTACACACCTTGAAAACGGGTAGTGTGGTCCGATCTACATGTGAATTCGGGACCATTCGGTGTCGATTCTGGTAGTTGGGTAGATCTGACTCACATGGTGCGAGTTAAAAAGCTCAAAGAACCCACCAAATAATTCTAACACCATTTTGTAGTTACTAGTACACGTAAATGAAGCAGAATATATTTCATATATAAAAAAGACTCAATTCTTGAAAAAATTTCACTGCATTATGCACGTTAATTTTAAAGCCCAAATTAACATGTTATGGGAAGAAAAACCAGCAGCTAGTAAAGGGTCTTTTATTTACCTATAACTACATAACTTTACATCCCTCACTTTTCTTTTGCACTTTTACCTCTCTCTTGCTCTGCCTTTCCTTTTTTACTTTGATTATTTTCCTCGTGTCATTTTTCCACACTTGTCTACTGATAAATGACTCTATGGCTCATTGCTGTATATATGCAGGGAAACACATAACATGTCAGTAGTTTTGTGGGATTTATCAGTGGATTTTGGGGAAAACTATAAGACTGTGGGAAAACAGCAGTTATTCTGTAAAAATCTGATGGAAGCAGTGGTGCTCATAATAATGTGTGGTTAGAGAGCCCCTGACACTTGCACCCCATTTCCATAGATTTTTAGATCAATCTATCCCTGTGGGGAGTCTCACTAGATTACTGTCAGCTTGACGGGCTTAAGCGTCTGTCCCACCTACTAAAAGCTGTAAGGGGGTAATTAACTATGGTGCCCACTTGGCTGACTGCAATTTAGCGTGAACCCCCAGGGAGTTAGGTCGATCTAAATCTTAATCTTTAGATCGATCTAAATCTCTGGGAAAGCACCCTTAGTTCGGGTAAACATTCTATTTATAATTAATTGTGAATACAAGTATTTCAAGGCATTCTGGGGAAAAAAGCAGTGACATCTATGTCAAAAAAAATCCTATCAAATGTTTATATTAACCTGAATGGAAAGTGTGTAAAAGCTTCAGCATATAAGACAATCTATTTAAAAATGTTGGCTCTATATTAAATGAATGACAATCATCACATACTAAAGGAAAAACCAACTATTTCATGGCTTTAATATCATAATGACTTTTCCAATGAATATGTGCTACCTGAGAAAGTCAAGAATGACAACCCTTTTAATCTTTAAAGGCAGTGGCTTTGTTCATAGTTCGTTGTACGGTGCAAAATGAAACAGAAAATAGAACTGAAAAGAACATTCAATAAAGCCTCATAGCCACAAGGAGACAATTCAAATATCACTAAGTCTGTATCTTAATGGATATATGTGGGAGGAGAGAGATGACCCACTAGTTATGAAAAGGTCTCTCTCTCTCTCACTCTCTCTCTCTCTGTGTGTGTGTGTGTGTGTGTGTGTGTGTGTGTGTGTGTGTGTGTTCCAAGAGGCTGCTGGCAAGTTAATTTTTTAAGAAGCTCACACAATAAAAGCTACGTAAAGTGTACAATATGTGCACTACAATGTTCCCACATGAATTACAAGGCTTTGCATGAAATGAAATTTGTGGGACACACTCACAAACTACAATCTAAATTAAAGACTACACTATAATGTTTTTTTTTTTTTTTTTTTTTTTGTAAGTTTAAAACTCTAATGGCACCACTCTGTGTATGCTTCTTAATGATTAGCAATCTATATCCCAAAAATATTAAATATGATTGAAGTTATGCCATTAACCACAATTTTATATCTATCGTCACAGCTGCTACCAGTATTCTCACTATCTGAACATCTTTGCTAGAAAAAAACATTAAATTACAGTCTGTACAATGAATCTGGTTAATTTGAGGCCTTAATTGTACTTTTCAATTCCTCCATTTGGTTTCAAATGGGTTTAGAACTGGTCAAATCTCGAAACAATTTTTCCGTCTCAACCCCTTAAATGCTACATTTCCAAGAAAAAATCTTTAGCAAGGAAGATGATACTGTAGGCATATCATTTTACTAGTCATTACTCTTGCAGTTAGTTTGGAAGATAAATGTGCAGGATGTACATAAAAGATTGCAAGCTGTTTGCCATAGAAATAGACACAAATCTCAACAGGTTTGCTCAGTCAGGTGTTAGAGGAAACATCACAATTATCAACCTCAAATGCAGTTTCTTCATACAGCATGCAACCAAGCAGATTGCCGGTAATATTATCTATAATTTTTCCTCATCAATGCTTTGATTCCTAAAGTTTCCTTTCCTATATCTCTAACTACCCCATCAACAGACACTATTAGGATGGTTTTTATGGGGAGAATAGCAAATGTATTTCTAAAGACCCTTGAGCTAATGTCCCTACTGTATGTGCGTTGTTTCTCAATAAAGACTCAAAATATCACTAAATTAACTTTATTCATAATTTCCACCACATTGTGTGACAAATTTCGAAGTAGCTTATGAAAGCAGCTCCCTTTATTAAATCCATCCCTAACAGTTCTTTTGTAACAATCAGTCTTTTTATCAAAGCAGGGACTGCATTTAGAAGATTAACAAATGAAAAAAAATANTCTCTAACTACCCCATCAACAGACACTATTAGGATGGTTTTTATGGGGAGAATAGCAAATGTATTTCTAAAGACCCTTGAGCTAATGTCCCTACTGTATGTGCGTTGTTTCTCAATAAAGACTCAAAATATCACTAAATTAACTTTATTCATAATTTCCACCACATTGTGTGACAAATTTCGAAGTAGCTTATGAAAGCAGCTCCCTTTATTAAATCCATCCCTAACAGTTCTTTTGTAACAATCAGTCTTTTTTTCAAAGCAGGGACTGCATTTAGAAGATTAACAAATGAAAAAAAATACATAAAAGGTAAAACAGGTGATTCGGTAACAGCCATCATGTTACAGATGAAATTCTATTTCACGCACAGCAATCTATTAAATAAAAATAAAAACTAAAAACAACATGCTGGTTGTCTGAATTTATGCAATCTTTAGCAATTTTTCATTTTACTCTATTTATTTTCAACTATCTACACAAGTTTCCAGTTTTCCTCCTTTTTTGAGTTTTTATGATTTTAAAAGAAAGAAAAATGACTGTATGGCTTGTTTTTGAAACCGATTTTTCCCATTTTGTTTTTTTAATTGATAACAAACTGGTACTCAACTCTTCATCTCAATCTACCATTTAAATCATTTAGCTCATTTAAAAGAAATCCATACAGTATAACTTGAATAATTTCCAAAAAAATAACTCTGTGTGTTTAAAAGATTTTTGTGGCAAATGAGATTTACTGCTCATTATCTCCAGAAGATAATTTCTCTCAGCAAAGCCATTAGAAAGGGCTCATCACTCTTTCAGAATTCCGGAGAAGCCCTAATTGGCCACTAACTGCCATCGTACATGCAAAGAGGGTTAAGGCCTGCTAATAAATGGTACATGTATATGTATATATATTAGGTATGGCTAAACGAACAACCATGTTATTTTTTCACACACTATGCATAATTGTGGAAAATGATCCATTATTTACAGTAATCACCAGACCTAACCAAATGTGCCAAATGGCATATTTTCTGCTTCCTGCAGGTATTGATGAATATATGTTAACTTCTCTTTGAATGTGAAGTGATATTTTGTCCAATACATTAGCATGGACCGTATTGTAAGAAAAAACTTTAAAGTACTAATCATTTATACTTTTCTGGTAGAAAAAAAAATCACCTCCCTCCAAGTTCATTAAAAATTGCAACCACAACCCTTCAATCTATGACGTAATAGGATTGGGCTCCATGTGGATAAACAGACTTTTTTTCAAAAATCCAATTTATCCTATTCTTTTGAAAAACTGTGGTCTACTAGTGTAGAAACACATTACTGCCTTTCTGTGAGATACTAGTCTGCTTAATACTTGTCAAATAACGAAGCAGGTTTTACAGCTGTCACAGCCTCTGAATGAACATGCTGTGCAGTTTTATTAGGCATACTCTAAAATACAATATAAAACCCATAGACCCAGACAGACTATAAACTTGTTTACTCATGGCTAAAATTAAATTCATGCCATGGATAAGAATTCAGGACCATATTGCTGGAGTAATCAGCAGTCACTTTCATTGATGGATTCAATGTGACATTATTTCTACCATGCATGAACAGTGTAAGTTCACTCAATGGAAAAAAGTCAACCTTGGAGCCTGAAAATGAAAAATGAGTTAAGGATTTCACATACCGCACATTGGCCAATGTATGCCTCCGACTCCTCCCTGGTCCCTTCAAGAAAGTTCTATGAGCTCTGATGTCCTTCAGGTCCCCACTTTCCACCTGCATTCTGACTATGTAGACCACCTCTACTTCAGTAGATTTACAAAATAAAAGAAGCTGCTCCAAGCTGTTGCACTCAGTCTACCTGATGGCACCAGTCCCCAATTTTTTTCAATCAGTTTGAATAGACTTCTGCACAATTTGGAGACTGAGCAACTAAATCCCTCAAGGCCTCCTTGTTACAGGAACTTTCCAGCAATTATATTAGATTATCGCACACTGTTTTTTTTTTCTTTTTTTCTTATGAGAGATCAAAGATCTGCAGCCAAAGCACAAGATGTTCCTCAACTGTAAAAGTCAGTTCATTCAATAACTTCCTGTTGCCAAGGATACTAGTGCAAATGTAATCACTTGCTGAAGAAATTGCCCCGTGTGTGTCACAGCCTTTTAACTCTGTAATCATGAACAGACCAATGACTCCCTTGTATTTTCCAGTGTTTTGAGAGGGAGTTACATCTCTGAATTGGTACTGAATCTCCAGTTATTCAAGATTTACCATCAGCTTCATGTTTGGAATCCCAAGCACAATATTTTACATAGAAAAATAAGCAGGTGTTCTCCTCTTCTCAGGAACTGGTGACCCAGTGAACATATGCCACTTAGGTTTTCCCCAAAATTAAGATATCCAAGGCAAGTGATATATAGAATCTTGTCTTACTTCTGAAGTAAATGCACTCTTCTCATCAACTCTTCTAGCATTCACCCTTTTTCTCTCTAGCAGTTTCCAATTAGGACCCCATGCTGAATATTTAAGTGCACCTCACGTCAAAGGCTTAAAATTACTGTGTCTGTGAATGGCTCCCTACCTTATTCAATTCTACTGCTCTGTAATCTGTCCCCAAACCTGCATACTTCTATATGGCAAAATGATTGTCCATGGACATTTGTTAATATTTAATACCTTACCAGTTAAATTCTGTAGTGTGGTGTTCAGAAAGGTTAGGGCCCTGCCAATGGATAGGCAGGCATCAATGTAGGCAAACAATCAATAGCGTTATCGTGGGTAAATCTTATCTTTTTGAAGCTACGAGCTGAACACCAAAAGCCTCTCTGTATCTGGACATAAATGATCAGTTAAATGGACACAGAGTCCATCCTTATGATTCAGGCTCCACCTAGGCTGCTACTGCTGCTATCACTGTAAGGCAAGGGTAAATGTGTCGCGCTTAGCCCAACAAAGCAATGAACAGAAGAAGATACATATACTGTAGTGCTAAATGTCTCCACACATCATTCACAACGAAGAGCCAAGAACGACTTGGCAAACATACTCCTCATCAATGATCACACAGCTTTTTAGTCAGGTCTATAAAATTGTCTAAGGTATTTATTTCACTATAAATAGATCCCTTTCTGAAATTTCCAATAGATTGTTACAAATAAATGTGCAGGCTGCTGGTGTCACATGACTTAACCTGTGTAGAAGATACAACAGAGCCAGCTATCTCATTGTTATTGTGGGAAACCTGGGAGGGCTGATATAATGTGTTAGTGTAAATGCCATGGCAATGATGTGCAGCTTTTAGTTTCATATTTTGGCGTGGAAGAATGGGCTGTTATAACCTCCATCACTTCTAAAATTGACAGCATCAAAGTTCCATTTAATGTTTTTGTTCAGTGTGCTTGTATCAAGGCTGAAAAACTCCTCAAATAACTGCGTTTTTCAAAAAGGAAATGAACAGAAGTAACGTACAAAGACAGATGAGTCGCAGGCAGCTCCGTGCCTCTTCTCCTGACGTCAGAGTAGGAAATTAACAGCTAATAAAACATCTTGGTGAACCATTATACTGCCGAAGCTGTCAAACACATGCCACAGAACAAGGTTTAGTGAAACCCTAAGCCATAGAAAATATTTTTTGCACTGGCTCAGATCACACGCTGAAAGGCCCATACTCAAACATTATGGCATTTAACTTCTTTTCTTTTTACGTTTTTTTTTTCAATCTATTTAAATTCATCTCTTCTTTAATAAAAAAAACTCTTTTATAAAAAATTCAGTTTTTATGGAAATCTATACATTGTGTAATAAATAGTAATGAACACCCAAACATATTTACAGGTAGATGACTTCAAGAACTGGAAAAAATTAATTTTACTGACATAAAAAATGAAACAAAGAGGACAACACTAAGTTATACCCTATCTAAAAGACTCAAAGTCAATTTATGCATTCATGCATATAGACACAAACGTGTTCAAAATAAATTAAAAAAAAACAACAGATACATGTACTATATCAATTAATTTCATCTTGGGAACAATTTTTACATTTGACAGGCTAAGCTGTTACCCCAGTGCACTAAAATTACTGGTTTTCCAACATACTTCAAAACTTTTGCTTGAAAATACCTTGATGTCCAAGGAGAAATAGCAGATACTTCCAGAAAGATTCATAGGTTTGTTATATACTGTATATTCATGTACCAGTGCCTAGATTCTCTTGACTAACTTGGCCTGCGAGGCAAATACACAGAAACTTTTATCATATCATGTATCTGAAAAAAAAAAAAACTTTCATGATGTGCTGATTCTTTGGGTCTTATATGTGACCATACAAAACTGCCAAGTATGGTAATGACATGATCACTTCAAAGGGCACAAAATATCAATCTTTAAGATACGTATTATTGGAATCTTAAAAATTATGTTTCTGCATAGAGCAGAACTGTTGAGTAGCCTGCTTTTCAATTTTGCTGCTACCATTCAATAGGGACGTTCTTATGTCAATTTAAAAAATACAGTGCCTGTAAAATTCACAATTTTCCCCGTTGAAGAGACACCCTTTGGCAGCAAGGTGCACAACAACATGCAAAGGGCTTGTTTTTATGTGCATGTTCATGAGTTTCAATGAAACTGATTGAAAACTTATGTAGGAGGAGATGCCTGCATGGCAAAATTGAATAACATGAAATGCTAATGTGTTATAGACATATTTTAAAGCATTTTGTGAAAATTAAAAATACGACAAAGAGGTTATTTGGGTGCACACCTGCATTTTATAATGTTCATTGAAATTGACTGAAAATTAAACAATGAGGTAAGATCAGCAGACAGAGGGACAGACAGAGAGACCTGTACAGACATACAGACAGCTAGACAACCAGATATAAGTAAACATTCCCTCTTCTTGTTTCTTGCAAGGATGTGTTAAAAATTCTGTCCTTCTTTAACCTTTACATACAAAAGCCTGAAGACCAAATAAGCACTGCTTATGTTGTAAATATTACATGAAGCAAGCTTATGCTGGTAATAATTAATAAACAAATAAACAAACACATTAATTGATTAATTAATTAATTAACCAAAGTACTAAAATGAAATGTCCAAAAAAATGAGCAGATACCAGAACTGATAAGGGTCATCACTTTAATTAACATATTTACCCGAGGGAACACTTTTTACAGTTGCTATATGAAAGGAGAATAAGAAATTATTTGTTCTGTTCAGTAACTGGTTGGTGTTGGTGGCGAGAGCAGGAGCCATCCTGTGTAGCTCGAGCAGGAACACCTTGACGACAGAGCGGCGCAATAAATTGATAAAATACTGAGATAGATACTTGAGCGAGGCTAGCAATTATTGAAGGTGGGTTAACATGTCCATACAATTGATCCCATTTCATAAATTCCATATTTTACATCATTTATTTCCACCAAATGCAATACAGTACTGATGTGTAATCATTTCATCACTGAAAAGAAAAACCACACCCCAAATTACAGTAAAAAAATCTAATCAATAAGAGTACATGACCTCAAGGAAGAGAACCTCTTTACTGCAACAGCTGAACTTTTAAGAACTACTGCTCATTTGTCAAATGTACCACAATGATGTTGCTTCACACCATCAGACTCTTTATATGTTTTTCTAGGCTGGCTGAGGTTGTGGAAAAAAACATCATTCCTACAGCTATTATTTGTTGAGGATATAGACCCTGTCGCTTCTCTACTGGGAAATAAAGGTACCAATGTAAAGATCATTTCCATTCAATATACATGCTTGGCTGGTTATATTACAACTATTCACTCAACCTTGATATTATATACTGCATTTATAGTATTTTTTCATAATATATATATATATATATATATATAAAGTTAATTTAAAATGCAGCATTCTTTCCATATGGGCAATTTATATAGGCAAAATCATTTACAGTCAGTTAATCAGTAAAAAGTAGGAGCAAAGTGTTTTGTCTGTCAGTTTAAAGTTAACTTGTAGGCAGACAGTCAAATCAAAGTCAGCCACACTAGCAGGAAAGATTGCATGTTTTCTACTTCCATAGTCTGTTTTTAATCAAGGTGGTACGCATGAAGCAGCTGGCAACAGATGAGGGCCAATGTGCGCTTCATTTGCAGTTTAGTTCCAATCGTGAATAAAACAATCAGCTGAGACTACAGAAAGATGTATTTATCACTTATTCATAAGCATGCTGTTTGTGTTTTCAGCACAAAGCAGTGGCAGGTCCAGAATTGCCCCTGTTAAAAAAAGGAAGCATCAATTCTCATCAATGAAATCCTACGTGTGACCTTTCAAATATCAGCATCAATACTTAGCATGCCAGTTGATAACAGGACCTTGGTATGCGTACGGATGATTTTGAGACATTATGGCAATATCAATATGCTTAAAACTTTCCTAGGCCTAACTATACATCTTCTCTATGTCATTAACAATATTTTGATTGACTGGCACACAGAAAGATATATGCTACAAACTCCGTATGCTAAATGTACACCTACGTTAGTTATCTATATAAATCCTTTTTCAACCAGTTTTCTCCTTAAATGTGGGTGCAGTTCAGTTATCATATCAGATCATAAAATGGGGTTTTATTCCAGAAGTCTACTTTAAAAGCATTTGCAGTGAAACTGAATGTCGTCTACAGAAGGTAGTACTATTAGATAATGGTTGTTAACAATTTCTGTCATTCTCTAATTATTGCAACAATGTATAAAAATTTATTGGCTGTATTTCTTCATGTGTAACCCTTATCATATCTGAGTGTAGCACCATATCTATGACCCGAACCTGAATATTTCAGAGTGCAAAATTTTCAAATAAGATTTTGTTTACGAAGACCGATATGTGCACTGTACTAGTAAGTCTTTATCGCTTTTTTGTGCCACGTCATAAGCCAGTGATTTTTTCATTATCCACTCTGTACTTATTGGTAAAGCAAGTATCTCATCAATAATTCACAATGATGTGATATTGGCACTTGGAGTGATAGATAGCTTAAAGCCGTGTTATTTTATGCTCATATTTCCCATATCTTAACATTCTAATATTCCAGTAAGACAGAAATCCTTTCAAAAGGTAATTTGATTTTTTTAAAATTAATTAAAACTATAAATATATGGCAATCAACTCCCATGAAAAAATTGTTTATTAATGGTGGAAAGTGAGGTCACACATTTTACGTAAATTTGTCATTACATTCAACTACGTAGCAAATCACCCCACTTTTTAAAAAATCTAATCTGAAGCAAATAAGCACATACACACACACACACACACATACACACACACATGCACCCCCCAGCGCGCGTGCACACACACACACACACATTTTTTTCTATTACAAAACAATTTATTTGGTTAAAAAGGGTCATCTTTTCTGATAGGTAAAATTAAGTCAATATCAAATGCAGTTCAAAGTATGATATAAAACAACATGTCTAGTTATATTTCTTTCATATATTCTCAAACCATTTCATATCCAGATATTTGATCAGCTGCTTTTTGAAACATCTCTTTATTATCTGACAATGACACACAAAATAATAATGCAAACAGGATTAAGCGAATGCACGTAAACAGCTTAATTTATTACTAATTCCTTTTTCATTAAGGCCTATAATATCAAGAAATGTGCTTCACCAAGTGATACTGATTTATGTCATTTGGACACAAAGAAATGTCTAGTGATGATTTCCAACAGCATATATGCTTTTGTGGAAAATATTTTAAAAAAGAAAGAAAGAAAGAAACTGCAGGGGTTATCAACCTGCCTCCCCCCACTCCCAAATGAATTGATGAGATTTTGAATGTCAAAGTATATTGTGAATCAATCCCCAAGGCAGTGGATGAAGCATAATTTCTTCAGAAACCTTTGAATCAATGCAAACACCTAATTAACAAGTGTAATTATCACAGTCTTCCTATGGGAATGCGGTCATTCTCCAGACATCAATGTCTAGTTATCATTGATAAGGCCCTTAGACAGACATTTAGAAACAGTATTACCCCGGGGAGCCATGGAAGAGGTGAAAAGGCTATGGAAGTAAATTTCAGTAATTTTTTAATCACAAACAC